GACTCATTTCTGAAACGGTTCAGTTGATCCCTTTGGAAAGGGTGTTCGAATGACGAAGCTTACATTATTTCATTCAGCTAAAACCCACCTTCATACCAAACTTCTATGGTCGCTTCCTCGCACTTTCGCTGTTCCTTGCATATTTGTTCGGTGTCTTTCTGGCTTCGATTAGCCATTCCGTCCTTCCCTTGTCGTACACCTAGAGACCTATCATTCTTATCGCTCCATAAGGTATTTTCGCGTTTTAATGATATCTCAGCGAACTCCCTCCAGCTTTCATAGATCATTTTGAGATTCTTCACTAAATCACGAAGAGCCGCGCTAATCTGGTTGCTAGATTTCCCCACCCTAGTGGTGTCCTGCTCGGGACCTTCTTTGACACTTTCTTCAGTGTACAGGTCTGAAAGGCACTTTTCCAGTCGTTTGCATACTGCCTCTAAGCGTTCGACCCATGTTTCAATATTCTCTCGTTCCTCTTCACCCTTTGCTGTTGGTATTACGGCGTGGACGATTTTCTTCAGTTCTTGGAGCTCTTTCCTTATGGTATGTTGCCCGCTCTGTACATCCACCACCAACTGTTCGAAGTCCTTTCGTATCATCCCACTTTGTACCCGGGCGCGGTTTAACCCTACCTCTACTTCTCCAGATGCTATTCAAATAAAGAAACAAAAGCTGCAGATGAAAACCCAAAAAAACAAGGTAACAAACTCTTTTTCAGATGAATAGGCAATTATCTTCAAACTTGTAATATTGCACTGGATTCCAGCAAGAATTACAAGGGCGTTGCTTTTCACGTACACGCACATGCATTAAAAGTAAATTTCGAGTAAATTACTTGAACCCGGGGTAACATTCTGATCGAGTAGTCTGACCATCCAGGTGAGGGCAGTCCTGAGAAAAATATTATTGTCGGTAGTGATGACCGAGGTTTTGTCAGATGAACTGTCAGTCGCGTTGCGACTGACAGCTTATCCGATAAAAAAGTATGTCTACAACTAAATGGACGTGTTTCTTCCACGAAACGGCCCATCGATCTACTGCAACTACTGAAACAAACAAAAGCGTAAGTCTTACGTCTACAAAGACTATATACAATACGTATTGGCATTTCTGAAACCATATCGCACATCCTGTAACCCTTCAATATCCGCATCGCATACAGACAGATCATTACACTATCGTTCAGTTTTCAGTCAGACAAGGATATAACGAACAACAGACAAGAAGCAGTCTACAAAGTCAAGTACATCGACTGCCACGCCTCCTATACCGAAGAGGCTGACAAAAATCTCATTAACAAAAGAATGACTGAACACAAACAAGGGACAACAGTGAAGTCAGCAAACACATTGGTGAACATCTACAACCGGCGAACGATGCTACCGACTTGGACTCTGCGCAAGGTTAGCCTACAGCGCTACCTAGTTTCAACGACTGACTCTAGAAAAATGGTTCACTCACTTAGTAAAGACTCAGGCCTGGAACAAACTCCCCTCATGCTACCATGCTACCATGCAAACGATTTATTCTCGCAATTCACAAAACAAACGAGCTAACATTGCCGCCGGATCGAAACCTCACAATCATGATCGTCTCATGCAACTTGAGTCTTCAATAACACCCAAGAAAAGTGGCTGACAAATCGAAGTTCATACAAACCAGACTTATGACACTTGACCAACAACTACTTTTTCTTTGACTCACATAATGACTTCCGCTGAGGTTGTCGAAACGTCAGTCACAAGACAACAGTCTTTCTCAGGATTACCGGCCTCACCCGGACGATCAGACTACCCGAACAAAAGCATAAACATTTGTAGTAGTGAAGTATTTAAATTTTTTTCAATCTTTTCAAACCCAACTCAAAGCGGCTCTTAACGTCCACTGCAGTACTTCAACCTCGCAAAAACTGTGCACTGAAAAGCCAATGGACCTCAGAACTATTACTTTCCGCTTAAATGAGTGCCTTCTTTTTACAGCTGTGAGAGCCAAATTAAGAATGAAACATCCTTAACATAGCCAGTAAAGTTTTCATTTGGCGATCTTTTGCTACCAAGGATTAAGGTTTTTCTTGTCAAAAATAGATAGAGCCTGCATTGAGAGAATTCCTCTTAAATTAGGAGGTTACATACTAAGCAGTTTTTGGGCGGCATCTTTCCTCTCTATCTCTTCTAGAGCATTTATGAGTCTTCCTACTGTTGCTTCTATTCCTTCTCTTTTAAACCACTTTTCAATGACCTTATACGCCTTTTCACGGCTTTCTCTGCCATCAGCGTCAATGTTACTAATGTCTGTTAAAGATAGTCCCAACCGAGCAGCCAGGTTTTTCCAGTCGTCACCAACGTCACCACATATCGACGTTACTTGAATCGGAGTGACCAGAGTCTGTTCAAGCTGTATATTATAAGAGGTGTCTGCAAATAAGTATACATGTAACTTAACGCAAAAGTACTTGAACAGATAGTGAACAAAGGGTAATGCTATATGAGACGAAGTCGAGGGGATTATTCAACAATATTCGTTTCGCCTTCAGCAAATAATTGTGTTAGAGCAATTACTCAGGTGCTTTCGAATTCTCTTGTAAATTCGTTTTGTTGTTAAACCATTCTGTG